CTAGAGGTGGAAATTGAGCACAGAATTTGAATTACAGTTTTACTCTGTTTTTGTTATTGACTCATGTTACTGGTGCTTGCATTTGTGTCTGCAGCTGAAGAGTATCTGTCATTTGCCTTTGAGCACTGTCACCGATCAAGCCAGAAGAATAAAAGAATGATTTTGATCTACCTGCTGCCGGTAAAAATGTTGTTGGTGAGTAGATGTTACTCTTCTAAATAAGAGGAGGAGGGGGACACACACAGATAATAAACCTGATGCTCAGTATTGTTCTTGGTTTTCCCTTACTGGAATTCAGAGGCTGTGTTTTACCCCTGTAAGAGCCAGCACATGCACACTTTGTTGTTTGAGGACAAAAAACGTTGAGCTGTCATTTATAGCAAAACAGGAAAGGAGAAATGGAGGGGTGGAAACACAGCCAAACAAACAAACAAATCCCTCCCCAGCCCACCTTAACAAAACCAACCCGTTCCTCCTTTCCCCCTACCTTCCTCCCACCCCTCCTGAAGGTGCAATCTGATGATACTTCTGTAAGAAAGATATCTTTGAGTTCTTTGGAGAAGCACTTAACAGTGTAACTTCTGTCAGGTAGCAGTGTGCATCTCTGGTGATCAGCTGCACAGACGAGCCAGGGAATGTGTGAATTCACTAGGATAAATTGATCTTCTTTCACCTAGTGGAAGAAAGGAGGATGTGCAAACAGATGGCTGAGGACTGTTGAGGGGGGTTTGCCACAGCCACAGCCTGTCTTTGAGTTTTCTATTTGCACTTTGTATATTTGCCCATGTCAGAAGGGTCATGAGGTAGAGCATTTTGGTTTTGGAAAAATCACTGAAGACTGGTTAGTATCTGATCATTTTGTATTTCTGTTAAAAGAATGAAACACATCTGCTTCTTGTTCCTGTCCTTTCCCATGTGCTGTGTTAATATTTGTCTATCCCTGAATTAGTGCAATTATGCTAACAATTAATTCAGTGTAACTGAGGGGACAAGAATTAGACTTTAGAGTTTCCTCTTCCCAGCCCTGTTACGAAAGTTACCCATGGGTACTGTTATCACCTGCCTCTGTTGAGTTGCCACAATCTATTTGTGACCACTCTCCCTTTTCCATTCAATGCTCTCTTTCCAGTCCCTTGCTGTGTCCAGTGGGTAAAGGGGAAGCATAATGGGTATGATAATTGGCTTCTCTTTTCCGTTTTTTATTTATTGACTTTGTTATTGGTTACTTTCAGATCAATCAATGGTAGGGTTGATAAAGGAAAACTAACAGTCCTCCTAAAAACTGCCACAGTCCTGACTGGATGCCTTAAACTGGTGGGTTTGGTAGTGTCTAGAATTACTGTGGCTTTTCTGGAGCAGTTCTAATGTACAAGAGCCACTAAAGAAACTAGATAAAGGTCACTGGTTTTACAGTTACTTTTTTTAAATCAGAGCCTAAACATTAACACTAACCTTAAACTGTACTAAAATAGTTTGGATGTTGTTTTTTTTTAATTCCTAGCAGCTCTCAAGTAAACATGCAGCTGAGTTCTGCTTTCAGCTAATCCTCCATCCAGGAAAGGAGTTACCAACAGCATAGCATGATGTAACTAAATTTAAAGTCTGACGAAGTCAATGTGCAGTCTGATCTTTGTTGTGCATGGGGAAAAACCAAAGTTTCCTTTTGATAGTGTAGATGGTTCAGTCTTACCTGATTCAGCAATGAGAATTAATTTTGTTTCTTTAAATTTAACATTTCCTCTCTCTTTTTTTTTTTTTGGAGGGGGGAAAGGAGGTTGGTGGTGGTGCTTGTTTTTTGAGAGGACATTTTTATTTCCACATGCAGGCAGAGAGAATAAAATCTCTGCTACAGACTGAGCTGGCATTTGACAGTGCTGCAGCACTGTTTGTATTCCCTTGGGAATGCTTGGTATTTCCACAGTTCTTCTGTTTGCAGATTAGATCATACAGTCATGACATAAAATTTGAATCTGCGTAGGCCTCATGGCATGGGATCTTGATTTTACAAATTTGATAGCTGTTCCCTAACAATAAGTATGAAGGCTCCCTAAATCATGGTAAATCAGTAGTTATTGTGAGTTGAGCTACAAAGTGTTTGACAGGGACAAGGAGGTTGTCTTACAAATACTTTTATTTGCTTCTTATTCTGTAGCAAAAAAAAGCGGCTAAACATTTGTCTTTTTCTCTTCACAGATTTTTTGTAGCTTATTAGATTCTATTTAAAATGCATTTGACTTTACCCTGGAAAACTTGGAAACCATTTATTTTTCAGGGCCATATGCCAACAGTTCAGCTCTTAAAAAAGTATGACCTTATGCAGTTTGCTGAAGTAACAAAGTCTGTGAGGTATGATGCCTGTTTTGTTGCTTTGTGTTCAAAAAGTATTAAGTAAAAGGTATTTATTTGGGATCATTGAGGAAGGCAGGGGATGCATATTCCTACCAAGTCAGAGAATTTCTTTTCTCATTTGGGTGAGACCTTCTTATTTTTTCATTTATTCATCCTTGCAGTGAAGGCAATCTTCTCCTACTGAATGATGCTCTGACAAAGCATGAGACCTTCTTTATTCGATGTGGAATCTTTCTTATCCTTGAGAAGCTGAAAATCATCACATACAGAAATCTCTTTAAGAAAGTGTAAGCATAACAAATCCTATATTTGGTTATATATGCTCCTTAGTTCCCTCTGAGAGACCTGACTTCCTCTTAAAGTGAATTTATTGTAGAAAGGCTATTTTTTAAGAACCAGAATTTTTAAGTATTTCTCAATAACACATTTGTTCTGTTGTGTCTTTCAGATATTTACTACTCAAAACCCATCAGCTATCTCTAGATGCCTTTCTGATTGCCTTGAAGTTCATGCAAGTAGAGGATGTTGATATTGATGAAGTCCAGTGCATTTTAGCTAACCTTATATACATGGTATGTGCTGACCACTTTTTGTGTGGTCCTTCCAGACATGAGGCAGTAAAAAATATTGGACAGAGAATAAAAGTTTATTACAAAAACCACATCAGTAATCCCACATTTTCTTGTGTAAAACAGTTGATTCACTTGTGCTCAAAGTCAAATGTTTTCATTTACCCTGAGGACTTCCTCTAGTTCCTGCCTTTTTTTTTTTTGCAGGAATCAGTTAAAATTGAATTTTACATTACAAATCTGGTACTGCCATTTTTTCTATATATGCATAAATATTGATTTAAAAATACAAGCATTTTAACTGGGACCAAAAAGGATTTGTTCTGCATTTGAAGTAGGAGACTCTTGACCTTCTAACATTAGAAAAAAATAAAGTCAGATTTCTTTGGGTTTGTTCCACATTTTGTCTTTTACACTAAGGGGATTTCAACTACTCATGAACAGATAAAGGCTTGAAATGTAAAGATTTCTATTAAATCAGAGGTTTTGGAGCAGCACTGTGATGTCAGCAAGAAAATGAAACACATCTCTCTGAAACAGATTATGTGATGTGGTGTAGGTCACTGGAAGATTTCTTTCAGTGTTGCAGTACAATGTTTGAAAAGGAAGTACTATGTAATTTACTTTATTAGGTGTGGAATACTAATTGATTAAAATCCTCATTTTAAAGTGAACAAAGAGTAAATTTAGAAACACTTCTGTAAAGCTGTGTCTCTTCAAGATAATGTAAGCAGACCAATAGGGGGCCCTGGCAAGAGGCTCTCAAACTGAGAGGGTAGGTAGTACCCAAACACAGGGATGGTTCCAACTTTCTGCTTACTCTCCGAGTTGACATAAATTGGACCCTTATCGATATTAGGTTCAGTAGTGCAGCAGTGATTGAGCATACACACACTGCTATGGTTAGGTTATAGGTGTTTGCCTAGGTTACAGGCCTTGTGTTACCAGCTGCCCATACTAATGCTCCCTTTTTCTCCTTCTGCCAGGGTCACATTAAAGGCTACATATCCCACCAGCATCAGAAGCTTGTGGTCAGTAAGCAGAACCCATTTCCTCCACTGTCAACGGTGTGTTGAGTGTTGCATCTTATCCATGCAAGTGCTTCCCAGGTACTCGGCTTGTCCAGTGGAACTGCTCCTAATCACCCCAAGGACACTGTAAATTGCCTGGTTCATGTCCAGAACTGGAATACCAGGAACTGTTTGTGGCTCCTTTCCCAGAAGGACCAAGACTGCCAGTGTTACAAAGTGCGTTGGAATGAAATGCTGACTTTTAAATAATAATTTCCACAGGCTTTCTAGATAATTCCAAGTATTTCATGAAGAAATAAAGCAAAGCATTCCAAATTACTCACAAATTACTTAAAAGTTTTTATAGAGTACTTTGTGTTACTATTTTTGCATTTATCTTTCAGAGAGAAGTGTCAGCCTTTGTTACTCGTGTTAATCCATTCTTCAGAATGGAAATAATGTTTTCTTACGTGGTTTCCATTTTTTTTAAGTCTCTTCGATAATCTTGCTGGTATTAAATATTCTCTTCAAGCTTTCTCTAAAAACTAGAGAAGTGCTTGACACCAAAAGCTTTACTGTGTCAGTAATACTTACAGGTTCAAGTAAATGTGGGCAATTTGTCTGTAGGTGCCCACAGATGGGTTTGGTTTTTTTTTAGTTCTGGTGATATTTGTTTTATTTCTATAATGGTGAACATAAGATGATGTAGCTAACTTACCCATAGTCTGTTTTATTTTGCTTCTGGGGAAAACACTACCACTGGATCCAGTATTTTAAGTGTTATTACCTTGGGGGGTTGGCTGGTTTGCTTGTTTGGGATTGGTACAATGTAACTTTGTCCAAACTGATGAGATGGTAGTTTGGGGGTTTTAAAATTATTTTAAAAGGAAATTAAACTTTTTCTTTTCCTATCTTTTACAGTTGGGTTTTATTTTATCCTCTAACTGACATGAACATCGTTCATAAGGGAAAACACAGGTACCATGTATGAGGGGAAGCACTTTTAAACATGATGAAAGTGTCAAGACCGTACACAGTCATTAACACAGACATGTAAAAGAAGTTCCCCTGGTCTTTGTAAGTTTTACTTGTATGAATCTTGAAATAAGAGCATGAATTCGCTGAAGTAAACCTCAGGGTACCAAGAATTGAAAAGACTCATTGCCTTCTAGCACTATTTAAAATCCCAGAAAAACATCAAAGTGTTTGGAGTTGTAGGATGAACAGTTCTAAGAAATTTAAAGTTAAATCAGTTTTTCATAAAATAACTAGGTTTACTGCATCGTGACTTCCACAGTACTGTATGTCAGCAGAAGAAGGAAAGACAAACAGGCTTTTCTGTATAACTTGGAGTTAAATACATGCCATCATTGCAACTTCCATTGCTGTGAATTGTGATACAGTCAAATGGGTGTACTGGCTGCATCCATATGTTTCCTTGCAATGATTGGTAGGCGTTTGGTGCTTGAGAGTTGGTCGTGTTTGTGTCTTATTTCATTTTTTGTTTAACCCATATCATATACCTTGCGGTGTTGGTGAATAGAAGTGTTTCCCAGTCAGTGTCTTCTAGTGGCCAAGATCCCAGGATACCAGTCAGAAACCAAGTGCCCTTATACTCAGTAGCTAAAAAGCTTCCTCCAGCCAGTCGTTTGTCTACGGCCTTCTGGAGGTGCCCACAAAACTGCCTGTTTGTGAGGCTGATGTTGAGTATTTGTTTGCAGTCCTCAGCAGGAAGGTACAAAACCTGCAGCTCATCAACTTTAAGTTCATCACCTTCTATGCTCCAGCCACTAACTGTACCAGCCAATTTGGGAATTAAAACGTGTTCTGCAAAGTCTCTTTCAGGGGCGCATACAGGAAGCTGGTAGTTGTTGCACTCAACATGCTCTTGAAGCTGTAGCAATGCAATGTTGTTCTCACCGGTGTCTTCATCGTACCGGATGTGTATGTGCTTCTCGCTAACTTGCATTATCTTCTCAGTTCCACTTGTTCCATTAGGCCCTGTGAAGCAATGGCATTTCAACTGCTCTTAGGAATAGTTTATCAGAGACCTGTAAGCTGTATGCAAGACTGCCTGGTCGTGCTGAGGAACACGTGCGGCAGAGAAACTGAAGGTGCTGTTTCTCAGAACCGCTGCAGTAAAGGGAAAGTAGGAATAATACCTTGATGGCTTTTTAATGCTGTGTAGAAGCATGCATAATTTCAGCAGTAAGGACAAAAACCCAACACTGAAGTGAATTTTGGCATGAAACAAAAGCCACCTCTAAATCCACCATGTTTAGCTTATCGCTATATGCTGAGTTCTGCATTATGTCCAAGAGGCAGTTGTCTCTGCTTGGCTTGTAAAAGAGGTATGGGGCAGCTGTAGTTCTAGCTCAGATACTTGGCTGAGGTGCTTAAATGAAATGACAGCATATTTGTTTCCTTTTACAATATTTTTATGCAGCAACAAGTTTAGTAAGCTTTTTTTAAATTTAGCTTGTCAATACTAAAATGTGCTGCAACAAGAGAAGATGTGGTGGGTCACTTACCAGCACCAACCCTGATTTCAAAATGGTTGTGCAGAAGAGCACACTCTGCTGTGGTCAATATGAAGTTACTTTTTAGCAGCACTCCTCCACAGAAGCCTTTCCCTTCTGAGTTTAGCAGTAGCACCTAAGAAAATGCAAAAAGGCAATAGATAGCACTGTCCATGTGAGACTGAGTGATGGGTTTCATGAATTGCTAGAAATCGTGGCCAGTCTTCGCGAACGAAGATTTGGGAAAGGTCATTACCCTTCGAGCCTGCGCAGTGGATTTTTAGGTGAGACACAGTGTGCGCTGAACTGAGCCCACCCTTTAATCCTGAGGTTCATCTGCCAGGGCCGAGTGAGCTTGGACAGTGGCAGCGAGGTCCTCAGGACGTAGGTTTGTTTAGCGTGACCTTCTCTTAGATGGATGGCCTTACAGGGCTGATGAGCTCCATTTGCCTGGGGAAGTCCCCTGACTGGGAATCGAACCTGGGCCGCGGCGGTGAGAGCGCCGCATCCTAACCACTAGACCACCAGGGGACCCCATTGCTAGAAATACCTGCCAGGGAAATCGCTCGTCATGTTTCTTCCTGGTTTCACTTATCAGATTATCACTGTCTTGAAGTCTGCCACATGCACATTCATCTAGCAAATGAATTAAAAAAAATTCAAAATCTTGTACTGTACCATTTCAAGATAGCTAATGCCTGCAAATGCCTTATTGCTTCCACCTTGACTTTTGGATTTTGTTTTTGAACAAAGGAAAAGGAGAATGACAAATTTCTCAGCTGATGAGAATTGGAATAATTTGCTTGGCATTTGTAGTCATAACAGTTTAGCAAGGGGCTGAACATTTTGGGTCATTGTAGTGACTGGATTTCACTGTGTCTGTAACTAAGGAAATGAGGCTTCCTCTCCAGCCAAGCATCAGCACAGCTTGCTTTTTCAGTTTTATATCCTGTATTCGAATTGTGCCAATTACCTGATAGCTGTGGCCCAGTCCAGATAAGGTAAATCCGAGGTTTGCTTTGTTAAAGCTGTCACTCTAGGAATGTGCATGCCTTTCTGTTATGGTTCAAACATGAGTGCTCTACAACTGGATCACCCAGTTATCTGCATTTGTCACTTTCAGTTCACCTTGTGGTTTGCTTTTGGGTCACACAGACTGGATTGTGTTCTGGTGAAGCTAAACCAGAAGACACCCTCCAGGAGCACACATAACATACTGTCATAGCTAATAGGTGCTTAGTCCACAGGACTGAACTAAAGCTAGTTTGATGTAAAGCCCACCTGAAGTGTGCACTGAGTGTGGGCATCAGGCTTTCATCACCAAAAGAGTGGCTCTACGGCTGAACTCCTATTTGGCTGCCCCACTTGCTAATACAGACATGGGTCTAAATATACTTCTGTGGTTTTAGTAGGCCTACTTTATAAGGGGATGATATTGAATGAGATACCTAGTATGAGACTGAAAAGGTGAAAAGGGCTACTGCTTTAAACTAATTGATATGGCAGCAAATGTTACCCTTCACTTATCAGATCATCAGATGTCTGATGGGAATCAATTGAACCTCATTCCCAAACAAACCGGTGTTCAGTGGGCTTACTCTTTACGAAACCTAGGAGTGGAAAACCTGGTCTGGTGAGTGATATGTAAGATGATGCCAGTTCTCTCTGCAGACTCATATTTAAATGTTTAGATCAAATAGCACTTCTTTTACTGTTACTTTGACATCTTAGGTGGTGGTCCCTAGATTTCTCCTTTTTCTACCCAGTAATATTCTCGTTGCTTGAGTCTCAGAGCAGGTTGATCATATCTGGGTATCAGGTGGTGGCCTGCCCATCCCAGCCCTGAACAGGTTCCTCCTGTACTTCCATGCTCACACCTACCTAATGCGATGCACTGTTTTGTGTCCTGCCCAAGCTCATAGCCATCGGCACAGGAACAGCGGTAGGAATTAATTCCTGGGTAGCAGAAGTGGTGACATCCTTCTTTTGCTTCATGGTGACATTCATTTTTAGCTAAACAGAACAAGTGGAGGAAAAACATTGGGAACAGTTCACCTGGAGTATTCTTTCATAGCTTGAGTCCTCTTTATGTTTTATTTTTATTCACTTTGTGTGGAGGCAGGTAGGGATTCCGGCTTGGTAGTATTTCCCCACACATTATTTTTCCCTTGTTAAGCAGAAATTTGAGAGAGCGAGTGCAACATCCACAGACTCATTGCAAACTGTGTTCCCCCAGCATCTCCCTGAACCAATTCTCTGGACTTCTTGAGTTCTGGGGAGCATTAGCCCTGGGCCTTCCATGTCAACCCGTGGAAGGATGCCATGGTTTTTTTAAACAAAACACAGTATCTGCAGGGAGGGGAACTGTTGCACATGCTAAGAAGGCAACTATCGCTTGAGGAAGAAGGCAGCCAAGGTTTCTGTTTTTCAGAAAGAACAAATTCATAGCTCTTATTTTGCACACTCGTTCTAAGAAACTTTAAATTATCAGCCGCCATAGATAAGAAAAAAAGAAAGGAAGTATAAACTTAGAAACATGCTCAGTCAACTTTCCATAGCTGAACAAACACTTGAAGCTCTAGCACAAAGCAATAGGTGTTTGATCTAGCTCATATGTGGAGAAGTAGCAAAAAACCTTATATAACATGGCTCCTTAAGGCTCACACTGAACAGATCCAGTTCCCAGCACTGGTCCAAACTGTGTCACCTTCTGTCCTCTCCCAGAAGCTGGTCACAGTCACACCCCTTATACAGAAAATGACCCTGCCTTGCTGCAGCCAGGGCGTTTCCCACCCCAGGGGACCTCTGAACCAGCAGAAATACTGATGTAAGGGCTGGAAAGTAGAACCTGGCAGATGTAAAAATGTAGGATATGGCCCAGGGTGTTTCATGTGCCAGAAAGCATTTGTTTTGCTTTATGCCTTTCAGTTCCACTGGAAACAGTTTGTCTTCTGGAGTCCCTCTGTCCCAAGGGACCAGCTTGTGGGTGTGTGAGTGGCCTCAGAGGCACTGGGCTGCCTGGGCAGCCAGCCACTCCAGCACTGCAGCCCTGGTTCTTCAGGCCACACGCCACCTGGGACCACAGCAGGGCAAGCAGCCATGTAGCACAGGTGGCAGTGGCAGGGCTGCCTTTACAGCCCACCCATGAGGTGGATTTGCTTCAGCCCTTTTGCTGCATCTCTAGAGAAGGGAGACTCGGGGCAGGGACAGACTGCATAGCCTTGGGATGCTGTAATGTTTTGTAGTTGGGCAGCACATATCACTCCTGCTTTACCAAGAGCTGTGTGTTTTAACCAAAACCATGATGTTTTTGCATAATGGGACACCTGTGTATGGTTTCATGGGAACCCCCTCTGAAAGGAGAAGATAAGGCTTCTCTAGAAGGGGGGCGATGCCTTACCGAAAGCACAGTTCTCTCCCTCGTAGCCCTCAGCACAAGTGCAGGTGTAGCCACGAATGCTGTCCTCACACACGCCATTGTTCTGGCAGGGGCTCGAGGAGCACCTCCTGCCCTCTGAAGAAATGGATAGGGTTGAATCACCACCACCACTGACCCCGAATTACATAGCCCCCTTCCCAGCACACGAGCTTCTCATTCTACTGGAATGATTAAACTGTAAGCACCCAGCAAAATAAAAAGGTGGTAAGTAACAACAGAGAAATGTTGTGAAAGCGGTTTGGAAGGAAATGGGCTAAGTCTCACCAGACTGCTCCTCAGGGATAACTTTAGCCCAAACCTACTTCCAGAGGCACTCTTGCAGCCCATGTCAGAGAGGCTAGGAGGTGCCCAGAGGCAGAGTCTGGTTCTGGAGGACAGATGCTCTGCTTCAGGGAAAAGGACTGAGTTACAGTTCCATGTGTTGTTTAAAAATGTAGTATGAGACTGGTGTTTTAGGTCTCCCATGTTAGGTTGATATGCACTGGATAGAAAAAGTTGGCATCAAAATTCTATAACAAGCATACAGCAAGCAACATCAAAATAGGAGGAAACCTCTTGTATATCTGTACAATTATTATACAGCAGGTCAGACACTAGCAAGTTTAGTCTTTCTGATGAACCAAATGCTGAAACCAGAGGATGTCCCGTTCACTACGAGTGAAGCACTGGGCAAAGCTGCCAGTTTCCCTTCGAGCTGCCTACTGGAAAGATTCCAAAAGAGTTTGGAAACATGCTCCAAATAAAAACTGCTTATTGTAGATATAAGCTATCAGTGAGCAAACCAGAAAAGCCTAAACATTCTAAAATTTGACACTTCATCCGAGAGCTTAGCCTCAGTCAGTGGGCTCCCCTAGTGTGACATCAGGGACAGAAAGATGAAAACTCTACCTATTACTGCGAAAAAAAGCACCAATCGCCATCTTCTCAGACTATGGGCATGCATATCTTTGAGTGTTAAATGTACTAAAATACTGGCTGAAAGAGCTGTCACCTTCAGCCTGTCTGCAGCCAGATGCCACCAGCATACGCCAGCACAATTTAGGCCTCCTGGGAGGGTTTTTTGGGTGGGTTAGGTGGGTCTTGTCTCCACAGCTGAGCAGGCAGAGATGAGGAGTGAGGACTTCCAGGAGCAGTCATGGGTAGCTGGAGCTAGGGAAAGGGTTATGCCTGCAGCCTGAAGCAGTTAGATGGTTTCAAGCCTCTGAAATGCATGCTGGGGATACAGTAAATCTAGCACCTAGCTTTATTAAAGGAGGAAAGAGGAGACACAGGTAATTATAGAGAAATCAGCATGATTTCTGTTACTGGAATGCTACTGGGATGATTAAACTGTAAGCACCCAGCAAAATAAAAAGGTGGTAAGTAACAACCAACATACATTTTTCAAGATCAAATAATCCAAACCATTTAAATCTAATCATATTATAGGATAAGGAATCTAGGGGGAATCAGAGAACATCATAGAATAGAAATGTCTCAGATGACATTGTCATTAAGTGAGTTAGGAAAACACACACTGCTATAAGGCATGGACAAAACTGTTAAAAAAGTAATGTTTTAAGAGAGATTGTCAATGGCTAAGTTTATGCTGTTAATAAAAGAGGGTCAGGGACAAGTATGACCTCAGTTGAAGTGCCCTGACATCCAGCAAGATGCTGCTACATCAGCTTTGACTTGAAGGACAAAGGTGGAGCAGTACAAAACAGAGCGAAAGGGTGACCCAGCAGTTGGGTGGGTGCTCAGCCTTTCTCCCCAGCACTCTTATTCACAATGCAGATTTACCCACTGTACACTGGACTTTGGGGGAAAAGCAAAACAGATACCAGAAGTCTAGAAAACAAGATTATTGGAAGACAGGATGGAAGAATGTGTTTGCTTAGTAAGGAGGAGGAGAGAAGCCACTCTTCAAAGGCAACACTTTAAAATGTTAGAGAAGACATCACAAAGAAGGAAGCACACACTGCTGTTCTGTAGGAAGAAGACAGAACATATGGCTTTTAATTACAGCAAGGAAGCCATTCCTCAGGCTGAAGCCAGTAATGTGTCCTGATTGTGGCTAAGCTTGTTTGCATGGACCATTCTGAACTGGCTGCCCTTCTCTCTTTCTAGAGAAGAGGCAAAGCCTGCATGACATGCTTAGTACAAACATGCAATGACTGAAGTTAGAAGTTAATCCCACCCTCACAGAAGTAATAACATGCCAGATATTTAGCATCATTCTTCATAAAATTTATATAGCACTGATGGGATTCTTCTATGTAATGACTCCCTGGACTCAATGTTTTAGTGGCTTCTGCAGAAACTTAATACTGACTGCTGGTTTTGCCACTCCTTATCTACTGTCTAAACCTAAGATTAGAAATTAATAAAAGCTAAGTTAAAAGCAAGAGAAAAGCTTGGAATGAGCCATGCAGAAAAGAGAGGGAATATGGCATAGTCCCCATAAGCTGGTGCCACAGGCTCCTTGTTCAGAAGGCATCTAGTTACATCAGACCCTCAGCTTCTGCAGATTTGTTTCTTGCCTCAACAGCTGCCAGGGGATGATGCAGCGCCAGCATCCAGAGTTTGTAGGTAGCCCACTAGCTTTTAACACCTATTTATCTCACTCAGGCTTAATTGCTAGGTCTGGGAGATATTGCTGGTAAAGCTGTGCTGCTCTGTTGTATCAGTAAAACAGATATTCTCATAGCCCAGGTTAATTCAGAACAGCTTTAAGTTCAGGAAAGAAGTAGCCTATTTACTATGATAGCACTGGCTCACTTCAACTTTTATTCTTTTTTTGCAGCCTAAAATTTTTCCTATTTACTACTCTTTTTAAAACATCAAGACTTTTCCATGACAAATAGTGACTGGATGTTCCTTGTAGAATAAACTGCTAAAAACTCTTAGAAAACCAGCACTGGATAAGATCATACTGTTCACAATGCAACAGTACTATGAAGGAGAAAAATCAAGGGGCCAGCTTACCGTAGTAGATATCCCAAAACATTTTCTGGGGGGAAAAAAAAGAAAAGGAAATTAGATTTTAATTCTTAAATAATGTCATAACCCATAAATATTTTGATAAAAGAAAAACATGTTATGAGAGAATATATACTGCAGTTTGATGTTTGCACAGATGCACAATTACAAATTCTGCCCTACTAGCAAAATATGCATGAGATGGGAGGGGGTTTGTCTCCTGCTTATTTTATTGTTTCTTAATAAGCTATAAAGAAAAATAAACACTTCACAGGCCAGAGAGGAACAGTTGAATCCTTTAGCAGCTTCCTGGAAAAACTGGCTGGCTATTGTCTCCTTGGCATGCAGCAGCCTGGGAAGTGACCCCATCCTGTCCCATACTGCTTGGCCCCCAGGAGGTGCTGCTGGAGGCAGAAGGGTCAGCACAGAGCAGAGCTGCAGGTCGTCAGCACTAGTCACCATCACGTGCCCTGCATTTCCCTTGGTACTGCAGCTGACTCTAATGCTGCTTTTTCCAAGGGGATACCACTCCCTACCATTCCCTTCCTCAAAGCACCATGGCTATGCATGGGCAGCCCTACAGCTGTTTCCTTTGCTTGCCCTGAAAACAAAATCTCCATCAAGATTCCCATTAAAGAGCACAGCATCCATTTGTACATGTCAGGAGGGCTTCTTGTACGAGGGATCTGCAGCTATTGAGCAAGTGAACCTCTTTCTATAGGTGTAACTACTTGCTGGTGCATTGCTTCCCTCCATCCCTATCACAGAATCACAGAATTGCATTGGAAGGGACCTTAAAGATCATCTAGTTCCCCCTGCCATGGGCAGGGACAACTTCTACTAGACCAGGTTTCTCAAAGCCCCATCCAGCCTGGCTTTGAACACCCCCAGGGATGGGGCATCCACAACTTTTCTGGGCCATGCATTCCAGTGCCTCACCACCCTCACAGTACAGAATTTCTTCCTAATATCCAATTTAAATCTACCCTCTTGCAGTTTAAAACCTTGCCCCTTTCCTACCACTGCATATTCTCCAACAGTGGGTGGTTCTTAATTCTCCCAGTCCCTGTTTCTGACTTCTGTGACTTGGGTTGTGTGGCTGGAGCGCTTGCCATTGAAGACTGGGGTAAAACTGTCATTAAGTACCTCAGCCTTCCCCATGTCCCAGTAACTAGTTCTCCTGTTTCCTTCTGGAGAGGGCCCATATTTTTCCCAGTCTTCTTTTTATCACCAACATACCTATAGAAACTTTTCTTGTTGCCCTTGACATCCCTGGTCAGGTTTAATTCACTTAGGGCTTTGGCTTTCCTGATTCCTGACTGCTCACAGTTTCTCTGCATTCCTCCCAAGCAGCTACCTGTCCTTGCTTCCACCCTCTATAGGCTTCCTTCCTGTGTTTGAGTTTGTCCGGAAGCTCCCTGTTCATCCATGCAGGAAGTATTTCTGTGTGTGGTCAGGATGGGACAACAACCATGTGATTTCACAACATAAGGTGCAGGATGCATAACTTTCAGGAGGGGACTTGAAAAATGTCAGAGCTGACCTCACTTCCATTTTTACCACTGCTTTCTACCTACTGAAGTGGGAAGTGCAAAGATTTTACATGGAGAGAAACCCAAACGAATGAAGCAGTCTGTGAAGCTGTGTTTAGTAAGAAAAAGATCAAGGCAGCAATTTTTATTACGCACACAGGAAAACAAAATACTTACAAGCATTTCATCATTTTCAAATACTTCTCTTGCTTCTTCATGTGTACATCTCTCTTCAAGGCATTCCCTTTCCAAACTGCCTTGGAGGATCTCCTCCAGAAGGTGGGAACTGGCACGCCTCTGTCTCTTGATAACATTGTTTGCCTCGTCAGCTGATATAAACACTGGAACATTGTATGACAAAATGTAAGGTTTTTTTGATGTAAGTACTTAGATTCATTTCCTTGAATACTTTTATCTCCTTTTCTAAAAGAGAATTAATTTTGGCTCATCCATGGTTTCAGCCATGAACTTACATACCTAAAGAGCTCTACTTCTTAGCCCAAATTCAGCAGAGAAGTTGTGACCTTTTACTTTTAGGAAATGCCTGACTTGCTCCCAAGCAGAGAGAATTTGAGGCCCTTCCTGACACATTTTTTTACTCCATGAGACACACAGAGCAGCAATGCTGTAGCACAGCCAGGCAAAGGGGAAACACAACATAAAGGCAGAGACTATTTTGTGAGACTGCATAGGGCTTTCAAACTCATCAGTAGAAGTGAATATTACTTGTGTTAGCTTATGATGGTGGATCCAAACTGACACTCTTCAACCTTAGTTCATGGCAATTTATTTGCTGAGAAGCAAAGCCGTGACATGGCTGAGTTCTCAATTTATTCTCTCTTAAGGAGAATAAATAAAAGCTACCCCTCAGCAATGCTCGTGTTGAAGAGGGCTATATAACATATGACCCTTTATGTGGAAGATACCATAATCTTTTTTATTTGAGTAAAGAGGAGGAGGGCTCAAAGGCATGAGAGTTATCAGATCTTAAAACTCCTCTTTGCAATGATATATGCAACAAAAACTGCTTGCCTGCTGGGCAGCTGGCGAAGTGCTGGAGACTGTTGCCCCCACATCAGGCAGTATGTGGCTGTGTGTGTCTGCAGGTGTTTGTCAATTCTTCTGTACTTGGAAAGTAAACGTGTTGGGTCAGGGAATGCTTAGGTTGTTTTGTTTTTTTCGTTTATACAGCATTTGGAGGCCCAACACCGCCAGGTTAAAATAATTAATGATCACAGAACTGGAAAAAGTCAGAGCAGTAACAAAATTATTCTGAAACTGCATACAGATGTTTATCTTTTTGAAGGTTATCCCATAAGCAATTGGCTTGCACATGATATTAAAGAAAGAAAAAGCTTCATGACCATGATTTATATTTTAAAGAGTTATCTGACCCCCAACATATATTTCTGCTGTGCAGTGGCTCTGCCACATCCAGCACAGCTGGCAGTGCACTTCTACTGCTGCCAGAGGCGTTTTGACCTTCTTAAGAGGTCACCATCTTTTCCTTCATTGCCTGACTCCTCCTTATTTTTGACAAAACATGAAAGATTAATACAAGTTTCTTCAAGCTATAACAAGAATGCATATCAGCCTCTTTCATACAATTCTCTTATATTTATGTCAGCAACAACTAGAAATATAAAACAAAGTTTTCTTTAATATCTGGGGTACTTTAAAATTGTAAGAAAAGACAAAACATTACCCTGGCATAAATGATGGTACTTTAAAATTACATTGCCTCAGTAACCTACTGCAGTTTTCACTTAGGTGCATGAAATAAACAGGAGAAATATAAGGAAAATTATGAAGAGACATTCTTCAGGGATGTTACCCCTGCTGCAAAGTAAACATGATACAAAGTACAAAATTACTGGTGTTTTTAGAGGAGTGGTAACACAAATTAGAATTAAAGGCACAACAAAACAAAGGCCATACCTGTCTGCTCTGTCTGACGGAAAAGGGCAGAGAGAAGGAACAATATTATCCAAGAGCACCTTGTCATTGTTACCCTCTGAGCCTAATGGCGCCTGCCTGCATTTCTGCAGCTCTTGGGCAAAACAGCTACAGGAGAGATGAAGTTTAAAGTCCAGCTGCTCATGAGAAAACAAAAGCTCTAAGGGCAAATCCTGGCTGTAATGTCAACACATGAAAAAAAAAAATCAAAAACCAAACAAAAACCAACCTCCTGCTTAGTGGTGCAACAGTGCCCCTTCTCTTAGTGCCCTGGCTGACAGTGTAGACCTTTGCCAGCGTGGCCGAGAGCTGCTCCAAGATCTGGGTATTCCTCCTATGCCCCAGCCTTCACTTACCATAACACAGTGTGGGTGGAGATGAACAATATGAACATTTCTTTGTACCATATCAAAGCACAAGCTGGACAATGACCACAGGGAGCAAGTTTATGACATGGCTTTTTCATACACTGTCCCCATAAAACATTTGCCAAGGCTTAGCCACAATGGGCAAATCCCACCAGCTTCTGGAACAACCCAGCACCCAAGCATGGTATTTTCCTCCTAGGGATGCATCTGAGTGGATATGGCATTTCTCTTTTTCACTGTTAGGTTCGTAATGCCCAGCCATGAAGCATGTGAAACTTGTTTCCTAATGTCAGGATCCCAGTCCCACAGAGACAAACACACAGAGTCTGTGAAAGGAGGTGTAAATACAGAGAGAACCAAAGCACTCCGTGGGCTGCTGAGCTATGCATCCAGTGGCTGGGGCGACCCTTCTTCCCAGCCCTGGACAAGAGGAAGGATAAACCCATTGGTGTGCAATGGCAATGGTACCGCAGGGAGTCTTTTGGCTCCCAGCACAGGCAGGCTTCTGGGAAGAACAGGAAATGATTTCTACACTCAGAGCAACAGCTGTTGAGACAGAGAGTGTTTTTTTTTAGTCATAGAGACCATTGTGTGTTTTCATGTCATAAATCCCCAGCTATTATCTGAGTATGCAGTTCCTTTAACAGAGTATAACTCATCTGAGCATCCATGGGTAAATCCCCAAATAAAACTTCACTTCCCATCAATTTCAACTTTTAAAACAAGATTCAGTGAGTACTGAGGCAGGTGAGGGAAGCAGACCACATGCCTCACCAAGGCCAGTTCCTGGCTGATGTTACAGCTCACATCACAGACTCTAATGCCTTCAGCAAATAATCAACCTCAGTTTTAAAACTGCATTGTGTCCTGTACAATTTCCACAGGGCTGTTGCTCCAGAAGCTCACTTGGAGTTAAAACTCTTCTAATATCAAGCTTGATTTTATTCACAGTCAGTTCATAACCTTACATATTTGTTTTTTCCTCCTTGATATTTCTGCAGAACTACTTAGTACAGCCTTCCATCCTCTTTGGTTAACTGTGTGTCGAGTTTTCTTTAGTAAATGGACCCTGTGTTGTCTCCTCACTCCTCTGAGACCACCAAGCCCCATCGTACCTGTCCCAACCAGAGGTTTCTTGGCTAGAGAAAGGGAGGGCTGTTGCCAGTGGTCACATCTGGTGGGTGCTGGGAGGCTCAGCCAGTACCTCCTGTGCCCAGGAGCTGCTGTGGAGGCTCAGCTCAGCTCAGCTCAGCTCAGCTCAGCTCACCCCACCCTTCTTGCCTTGCACATCAGTGGTTGTGTTGCTTCTCCAAACTCTTCTGTCTGTCCATCCCCATGGAAGCACCTGCCAGTGACCTGTGACTATTTGCCTTTACCTACTCACTGGTAATAAAATCATCCTGTGCATATGCAGTATAGCAAGTTTGGCTCCCTTTGGCTTGAAAAATATGTCACCACTTGATGTCAGCACAGGACTTTCTAAAACACAAGTTTTAGAAACTGTTTACATTTTGCAAACCAATTAAGGAACTATTTAAATATAAGTTAATTATTCAAATTGGGTTAATATTAACAACACAGAGCTTCAGAAGCTGTATTCTTACCAGATCTTAGAATGGTCATTTTTTCTCTGACTGTATGTATTTTTTTAAAAAAGTATCCCTTGACTGAGAAGCTGTGTCCTTCAGAATAGAACACAGTGTACTCAGTACATATGGCACTGACTTTGCTTTTTCTGTATTGGTATCAACGCAACAGGCTTTATATTTTAATTTTCGTATGACTGTGGAGGGTTTTAAAAGGGCAGTCCTTTCTGCACATCTTTCCTTATGAAGTGTTACTGGGATTTCTTCTTCCATTCCTTTAATTACCACAGTGAGCACATGGTGATGTGTTTCACTAAGGAGACTCACACCCTATTTCCTGTAGCCTTGCTTAAGGATTGCCCCCAGCTTGGAGGGTTACTGGTTCCAGGATGAAGCCTGCAGACAGTGTCAGATATGAAATTAGCAGTTCCTCAGGATGGAGTAACTGAGGGAGTTGTTCCTGCTCTAGCAACCAGTTCCCATGGAAGTAATTTCCTGCCCAGTGCAGTAAGCCAGGGAAAGTGGGTTTGCAGGCCAGCTGCCCAGGTAGTGATGGGGACCTGCCAATGCCACCTACCTCATGCTATGGGACCCTGGCTGGCCATCAGCCCTGCTGCAGCATGAGAGGTCAAGGGCAGCTGTCCTGAGTAACTGGTCACATGATTTTTGGAAATGCATACCTCAGCTAGTGAAAGGGGACAGCTATTATTTACCAGAAAACATCACCTCTGCACTAAGCAAATAAGGAAAGCTGATGGCTGAGCTTGCAGCCACATTTCTCGCTCCTTCCGAGGGGCACGCAGACACAGCAGCTAATTGTGTGTTGTGGATACTGAAGATGGTTCAAGGAGAACTGGACTGTGGTGCTGGTGTTAGTAACCACCAACTCACTGGAAGTGGAGCAGTAGCAGGGGCCCCTCCAAGCCCCTCTGCTCTGAGCCATCTGTGCTGCTGGTAGACCTGGTGACTTTCTTGCCTCTGCCTCCTCTCCTTCCCCATTTTGCCTGTGGCACAGTCCTCAGCACCCTACTGGCTTCCTCTGTGCTCTGTCCTTGCTCCAGGTTATCCAGAGTCCTGACCAGCAGGGTGAGGAGGTAAGAGCAGGTGTGACTGACTGTAGCCCTGCTGCAGCCCACCCTGGGCAACACCTGTCCATCCCATATGGCACAGGCCAGCAGACAAAATGTTGCTGAACTCCACAGCCCCATTGCACCTTTTGCTAAACCTCCCATGGCTACAGCAAGCCACCTCCTTGTCCTCCACATTGTCCTTTTCCACACAGGTCTCTCATCTCCTGCCTGACAAACTGAAGAGGTAAACTACCCTGTGCCCTGAGCGTTGACAGATCCCCAAAGCACCATCTTTTCTCTTAAGGAAAAGGAGGGGATGAGGACTGACTGCCAACTGCCTAGCTGGTCTCTCCCCACGGGGAAAGGCCATGGAGAAGCTGCAGGTAAATCACAGCAATTGTTGTTAGCTCCAGAGAGATGGATAGGGCAGAGGCCAGGTTTTATCATGGCTTAACTCAGTAATTCCTCTGTCAGAGGGCTGATCTTTGGGGTAAATATGTTGTGGAGGCTATTCTTTGCATAGACAATATGGAAGTGGAAGCAGCAGATTCAGGAACAAGAGAGAGCTTTTTCAAATTAGAGAAGAAATGCTCCCTTGCAGACAACTGTTTAGAACAACAAAATGGGAGCACATCCCTCAGCCCTGACTAGACACCAGACTGTCCAAAACAGGTGACTGTGGTCATGTGTAGTCTCAGTCAAGAGCTAGCCATGAGTGACATGAGCTAATCCCATTTCCCTTCTCCTCATGTGAAGCGTGGTTATCAGCATGCATGCTTATAGGTAGCACAGGTCTTTGTGTGCAGAGAAGCTACAAAAATGTCAGATGCACTTTCTCCAGCCAGCAGAAAGGAAACACATACTCTGCAAAGGGTTAATGCTTAGTACAGTTAAAATGGGTTATGATTCAGCTAAACACCTGGACTGCCATCAGCCAGGTCTGTTCACCACCTGCAGACAAAAACCAAAAGTTTTTCTTGCCAAATCCAACATGCATCAGCACTTCTAAAAGCAGGAGGAACGTGCAGCTGTTTCAAAAGAGCATCAGTGCTGTCTTTGTGGTTTGGTTAGAGATTGCATGAAAACCTGAAATGGAGGAGTGAACAGGGGGAAGGAATGTAATCCCAGAGAGCTCTGATTCTCTCCTATGCTGCATTCACAACAAGGCCGTGAGCACAGCCACAAGGATGTGCAAGTCTCCTGACATCCTGGCAGTGAAAACAAAAGACACCTTGTAACTACTCCAACATTTGCCACACCCGTAGCAGTGTTCAAGGCCAGGCTGGATGGGACTTTCAACAACCTGGTCTAGTGGAAAGTGTCCCTAATCATGGCAGGTGGTGCTGTACTAGGTCAACTTTGAATGTCCATTCAAACCCAAACCCTTCTATGATTCTATGATCTGTGTAGGTGCAAGCTCTGACATTCTCTATTTCTGTGCATATGTTGTTAAAAATAAGAATCGTTGTTAATATTTCATTTATTAAAATACATTCTTTCTTTACATCCACCTTCGTGTTTCTTTACCCCCTTCCCCCCACTTTAATTTTAATATCTTTTTTCCTACCAAAAGTGCAACCAATAAAACTGACCAGAAGATGGCAGAGCACATGCACAGACGACACTGTAGCACTTCAGCTCCTAGCTGATAGTTTAAAGGATGGATAAGGGGGGTTAGTATGGTGTTTGATTTTGCTCTGAGATGAAGAATATCCTGATCCCTTGTGAAAAATGAAGAAAAATCACTTTGGAGTCTGCGCCATTTGGATAAGGATTTATTATTTTTTCTCCAGTTTTCTCTGATAACATCTCCCCATTGCCCTATGCTGAACTTCAGGATAAAAATGGTTCTCAGCAAAACCTAAGCAGTGGATTTTTCAGGCAAACTCCTGTAACACTGACACAGTCTGAAGTGGGTAATGAAGAGAAGCGTTTGGACTGTACCTGGAATTCAGACCTGAAGGAAGTCCTGATCTGACCTCAGCAGCACCAGTGGAAAGTCTGCACCTGACAGCTTCCACCCATGGCCTAAACAGATGTAAGTGGGTGGTGGAAGTGGCTTCTGCCATAAACTTGACTCTCAAGCCATGGGAGACATGGACTCTGTGGACGTGTGCAACTGTCACACTGCTGGACTGCTTTTGGGGGCTGACTATTCCATTTATGACAGGGGAAAGAAATCTGTCCATATTGAAAAAATATGGCAAAAAAGCCTATTCAAGTTCCAAAGTCCATCTTCCAAGATGATCCAGGTCTTTTATACTTGGTTATGAATAAACCAGGAGAGCTTGGGCAAGCGGTAATGCAGGGCTGTGTGGAAGGAGAGATGGATAGCAATGAAGGAATAGGTCAGCAAGTGCAAGCCCTGGGCAATGGCCTCCCTGTAGTCCCTGGGACACATCTGAGCATGGCCACAGTTCATATATTAGATTTGGCTCTCTCAATATATATTTTAGGGCTGAACTATAATCTGAGGCTTCAGTGGAGATCCTATGGGAATTCAAGAAGGGGTAAATCCCTTGGATAAAAGAAGGAACCAACGTTCCTTGCACTTCATATAGGTATTGTACTGTACAAATAAAATAGACCAGTCCTATATCCTGAAGCTGTAGCACTTTATACCCATTTTGGAGGAGTTTTAAAGGGCTGCCAAAATGCCAAGCAAGTAGAAAATCAGAACTTTGCAATTAGAATAATGCTCTTAATGAAAACTTTGATATAAAGTTTTGGGCTTCATTACAATATTGCCAATGGCACTCATGATACACAACCAAAAGCCTCAACGCAGAAAAGAAGAATTTTGCCCCTCTCATTTGTAGAGCAATATAGTCAGACTTAAACAGTAATTAGATATTTATTGTCTTTTAAAACTTCAACATTCTGCATACAAAAGTTTACCAGTTTACATATATATTTGATCTTTCTTGATTTGTATAAATTTCTCTTTGAGAATTAAATGGACAAACAATTGGAATTTAGACAACCACAATTTTTGCTTTACTCTTGTAGGCTGAGTACAATTTTTATGATTCAGAACACCATTTTTGAGTGCCTAGAACTTGTGATAAACTACTTTTTAATAAACGACAGTAATAAATAATTTATTTGACATTTCAGGTATGGAACAGTATCAGAACAGTATCTACATGCTGTCAAAACAGTTATTGCTAATATCTGAATGAGGTATCTGGAATTCTTCAGGGTTTGGCCAACACAGGAAATTGCATAAATGTGTAATGTTAGACCAATTTAACCACATCAGTTCAACCTTACCTGCCAGCATACCTTCCCCATTTTATATTTGGCTTCTAACATATATAAGCTACACTAGGCCAAGCTATGCTTAAAGAAACTGTCCATTCTACAAATTTAAACATGTATTTCACGGTTAGTCAAGAGGCAAGAGACACTGTTAGTCAAAAGACATCTTGCATATGGAGGCATGAACACAGGACACTTCCTTTTTTTTGTAGTAAAGGGAAAAGTGAGAAGTACTTACCAAGAAGAAGTCTTTAGACTGGTTAATTCAATGAGCTCCAGAAAGTATAAAATACTCATTCAGAATTGTCCCCCTGCAAAACCATTCATTATACTCATCTACTAGTAGAACAGCTGGCAAAGAGAGAGAAGAAAACTAAAGCACAAAACCCTGAATAGCTAAATGAGATTCAAACAGTTTTCCTAAAGTAGACATTTTCATATGTATTTTCTGTCAAAAAGGCAATCTTCATTCAGAGGGGTTGAGTGTTACACTGAGATGTAGCTGCCACAATGGGAAACTTGTCAAGGCAGATCTTCATCCTGGCTCAAAGCAAAGTTTGTGCATTCAGTTATTTTACCAACAGTTTTTGGTTGCTATTTTAAAAACAAAATTTAGCTGATATTGTAATAACGTTCCTGCTTGGGTTTTTTACTTCACTTTAGTCTTGGCCACAACAGGAACTCAGACTACTCTTCTGATACGGTCATGCTGCTATCTGCATGATTGGGTGACTGAGAGGGAAGGGGCTCACCAAGCTCTGCATCCCATACCTGCAACCCTACTTCTCTCCTACCCTCCCCCTCTCAGCACCTGCTTGATGCTGAAATGGAGACACAAGGTTATTTATGGTAGGAGACCTGTGCAGTAACACAGTACTCAGGAGAGTGGAATAGCCCATCCAAAACTTTGATGCCAGGGAAGTCTGTCTCAGACTGGGCTAGGCACCCTTGGGGAGCAGGCATGGACAAGCACAGTGAAGACTAAATGGATGCCAGTCCTGGTGAACAGGGTCAGGCTCCTTACCTGCCATGGGGACATCCTGGGTAAACTGCCAGCCTCTCTGGTGACCTCCAGATGGCTGCTTGCGGCCTCTGTGGTTTCCTCATTTTCAGGATGAGCATCTTGATTTGCTGTGATTCCTGTGACTTCTGTCAACTGGCTTCATGATTTCTTAATCTCATGTGGGAACTTGACTGCAAAGGCAAAACCAAAATGCTAATATTTGATGTTTGGATGGTATTGGGACTTTGAAGCATGTGTCACGTGCTGAGAGTAAGGTGTTCTTGTCCATAACACTGAGTACACAGCTATGAAGGCTCAGCTGCTGTTACCAGCCTCCACCTGAGCTCAGAGCTATCTTTCTTGCTGATTTAAGCCAAAATTTAGGAGATGGAGGACTATGGTCTTTCACCTCTCTGGGGGATATGGTGCCTGTGCAGTTCCTGGGGCACCATCCAAATGACATGCAATGGACAGTAACCTCCAGCACAGCAGAAGGACAGACAGTTGCTGTTGAAAGCAATTTCTGTCACTGAAGTGCCATTCAACAGAGCTTGTCTGACAGAGCCCTTGGTACAGGGGACAGTTTCATGGTCAGAAAACTAAATCTAGCTTCCAGTGCACCTTGTGTTGGTTTTCATCCCAAGAAATTATTCAAACCTGCTGGAGCATGGGTTTTGGAGTCAAAACCAGCCTTCAGAGTTACAGATAGGTACCTACACTGGAACAGGGTTTGCAGGGAAACAGGTCACTTTCCGGGAATCAGCTGTTCATGAAAATGAGAAAACCTTGTTTACTAGTTCAAGAAAACTCCTCAACAGCAGCCTTTTGCGATCTAATTAGATATGCAGGTGTTCTTGTCAGGGCTGGCTCTGCTAGATTTTTCAAGACATTAACAAAACCTTTGCAAATGCAAAAGAATCAGAATGGCTGAAAATAATTTTCCACCTCTAAAATGTACCTGTTTTGAGTAAGTGGGCAAATGCATTCAGCATTTTCAAAGTATTTAAAAGTTACCTATCTTCCATTATTGGTATAATTATTTTCAGGTACCTGCTGTTATTAAATCTTTTGTAATTGAAAAATAGAGTAAAGTCTTCCATGTCTGGAATCATCAACTCATGACAATAACTTGGTATTAAATTACAAAAGGCATTACAACAAATATCACCAGACAGACAGAAGAATAGACTGAGACTGAACTGTTAATGTTCAATTTGAATAGAGGCAAAACTGATGGATTTAAATTCAATGTCAGTATTTATTAATGTGTTTAGGTTACTGTATGTAACTGCAGAAAACCTGTTATTAGAAGAAAAGAGAAAGGTGGTGATATGTGATATGAAAGGTGACGAAACAGGTGATATTTGAGGAGAAACAAGTGAGATACAACTGCAGTCACATTATGTTACTACCACTGAAATGATGAGTCCTTACAAACTATATATTGTAAAGGAAGAAGTTTCTTGGGTTCCTATTCATTTGTATCTGTAGATGTTCAGCACAACTCAGGCCTGGAAAATAGACATCAGTTTTCACCAACCAAAAATCTAACTTATTGCATTCTAACAAAATCCTCCAAAGCATGAAGGATCTGTTTCAGTCTGTGGGAGAAGAGGAATCTAGGCCCATTGTAATCACTTGTTTCTCCTATGGCTTTGCCCCTACTGGGACACAGGTTCTTGCAGTCACCTGCGAGAATGCACCTACTTGCATAGAACAGTTACCTGAGCTATTTTTGCTGCCACACATCCCTCACAGTTGAACAATTTGATATTACTTAAATTATGACCTTTAGCTAAGATCTTATTAAATTTGTTATCAACACCTCAAGCAATGTGAAAGGTCTGAACAATTAACATTATTTTTTATGCTACAACAGCACCGCAACACACCAGCACTTCCCAAACGTGGTGCAGATGTGATGTGTGTCCCATAGAATGAACTTTAATTCTGGCTTCCTACCTACAGAAACACAGGTTTTGTCATTGTCCAGGGCATAGCCAGCAGCACATTAACATATGACTCCTTCATTTTCAGTTTCACAGAACTGCTCACAGTTCCCGAGTTGACCTTTCATGCACTTGGTATGACTGCTAAGGAGTCAAATGTATAGATTCATGGTGACTTCATAAAAACACAAGTAGCTCATAAAAGCTCGCTTGCAAACATGAATCAAACACCCCACCACTTTGGGAAATACGGTGCAATTCCTGCCAAAGGCCTCAATAACCATAGCAGTTGTAACTACAATTATTTTAAAAATGGTAAGCCGTCAACATTAGGTAGACCAGCATCATTCTACATCTTATGCTGTGTTTCCCAGCTATAACTGACAGCTCTTTGAGGGCAAATCAAAGCATAATCTTTAATTTCCAGAACAGCCATCATACTAAGGGAAAGATGAACACAAGTGTGGATAAGAGGCAAAAATTAGCAACTAAAGCATCAGTAATAAATGAAGTATTGTACTCTTGGTAGATCCTTGCAGTATTCCTTTTCCATCTGTATATAGTGCATGCTACTTACCTTAGCTCAGGTATTGCAAGATCACAGGCAGAATATGAGAGCTCTTCCTGGCTCTAACAGTGTGAGAGCAAGTAAACTGGTCCTAACAGATGCTGTCTAACCTGTTCCTACAGATTCCCAATGAGATTCCACAGCTCACCCACGCAGCTTAATCTACTCCTTAATTAGCCTTACAATGTCTAGAAAGTGTTTCCTAATATCTAATCTGAGTGTCCCTTAGAGTGATGGGATCTCATTCTTTCTTGTCCTCCTGAAAATGGAGATGATGTCTTATTTTTATTACATATTTTATAAATTTCTGTGGTTGTGTGTTGTGAGACCAAAGGTGAAATTTTGGTTTTGTGTTTACATAATTGGCTCCTATTTACGTAGAATCACTGTTCCAGTTTCACAAGATTGCCTGAACTCTCATCTCAACTTATGGTCATCCTTCCAGTCTGGAATGAGCTAAATGCAGTGAGTAAACACTCTCTTCTGTCTTGCATGTCACTGTGGAAAATATCAGCATCAGAGGTCCTCAGGCTCACCTCTGTGGAGCTCTGCACTCCATAAAATCTTTCAGTCAAGTAGCGCAGTTTCTCAACCAAATTTGCACCAAACTTACAGTAGTTTCATCCAGAACGGCGTTTGTCTTTCTGCTGCAATAAAAGCGTTATATAAAACGGTGTTAGAAGCCTCCCTTAATGGAGAGATCTGAGGTGTACTGCATCTTTTGCAGTTGCCCAGCCTGTTATCCTGTCCTTGGAGGAAATTGATGTGATTTGTCCCTTAGAAGAATTCGATGTGATTTTTTTTTCCTGACTAGTGCAACTCAGTTTCTTTTCTCCTTGGTGGACTCAAGTAATTTGGTACTTTAAGGAAGAAAGACTTTCTTCTCCATTGGGCACAGACTAACATTCTTGGGCTTTTTTCCATTATCTCTGTACTTAGATCAGCTATTGATTTTCACATCATGTTTATCTTAATGTGCTTACTCCTTAGCTTTTCTAGTTTTATGCCAAGATGGTTACAATTCTTTATACAGATATAGGTATTTCTGTGCTTCCTTCTGGAGGTCGTGAAAGAGCTCACAGTTTTAATCAATCCTCCTGCCCTTTCTTGACCTTGAGATAGTTAAGACACTGCCTTAAACACTTCGGGGTTTTATGGGGTTTTTAGAAGTAGCCTCTCTTTTAAAAATACATTATTACATTTATTTTCTTTTTCTTTTTTTTAATATATATATTCTCATTAATGAGCTCTGTCATTTTTACAGTTACTTTTATTAAAGTCATCTTCCATCTTTGTATTGCCAGCTACTTCTAGTTTATAGATTAAAATTAAATGCAAACAAGTGCACTCAAAATTGCTTTCTACGTGTTTGTATGTACGTTGAAAATTTTCCATTAAACATTCTGAAGACAGTCAGGACAACCCATGTCCCATTAAGTACCTCTCCCACGTCACCTTTGGGATGTCAAAATCTACCTCTAACTCACAGCACTTGTAATGGAGATGACTCAGGTGTTTGTTCCATTGTCTCCAACCAGACCTCTGTAATACCCAAATGACTTTTACAGCAAAATTAAACACGGCAGGCATCATGTCTGCAGTATGATTCATAAACTGGATGAGAAGAGAAGCACCTCAGGGGCCAACTTGAAAGACAGGTGGGATGCTTCATCAAGTGGAGATGTGATGATTGTTAGACAACCACAATGAGTGATGGGGTAGGGTTCTTGTTCCCCCCTCATTGTTACATCTTGTGGGGTTCATTTTGTCACCTTATAAATGGATATGAAGGATTATTTAATTATCACATCTCTTGAGAACATGAAGAATGGCCCATTGTTTGTGTTGTGCATTTGAAAGCCCTGCTTATCAACCTACTGACCCCGTATTTCACACTGACACTGTTCTTTCAGTCCAAAATGGTATTCCCCATGAGCCTTAGACCTGGATATCATTACACTGCAGCTGACAAATGGGAGCAAGGAGGGCAAGACAGCAAAGCTGCCCAGTTTTCACTCATGTCCCCTAGTCCACAAAGCACAAATAATGACAAATAATTACACAAACATGGACTTTGGTCACTCTCTTGCCTTTTCTGTGTCTGCTCTCACTTGGCTCAACAAGAACATATATACACACACCAGCTACTGCCACCATTGCCAGAGGGAGGTCCTGCCTTCAGCTACCTCAACACAATGCAGCCCAGTCTGCATTTTGCTTCAGTCCTCAAGCTCCAAGTACAAGAAAGTCCTTAGCAAGAGTATGTAAATAGAATTTTGGTAGCATCTAGACCTGAGGTTTTCTTTTGAAGAAGCAAGTTTCACCCTGGAGCACAGGGGTAGGCTCCAGTGGGACAAGGGAGAGGAATAGAAATGCAGTGGACAGAAGAACCCAGGGAACAAACATTGCTGAGTAAACATTGAAGTTAGCCCACTGAGGGGTTATGCAGGTCAAGACCATCAAGATGGGGTAACCGACCTGCTCACTAACCTTCCTGCCCACAATCACTGCTGACTGCAGAAATACCTTCTGCTTTGCAGAGTTGTATTTCCAGTTTGTCAGCCTGGTTTGCTTACAGCACCAGCTATACAAAACCAGCCAGTACCAGCTCAAACCCTAAGAGATAAGTGGCAGGTGTCTGGTGAAGTTCAGTATTCCTCAGAGAACAGGGGAACATCACAGATTGGAGGAGCCTTGGAAAGGCCATCAGGATGGTTAGGGTATAGAGCACATGATGAACTGTAACAGGCTGAGAGGTCTGGGTTTGTTAAAAAAAAAAGAAGCGAAGAAGAAAGAATGTTTTATTTCAAATGCTGGTGTACATCAATATTGTACCTGACAGAAACACCCAGAAAAATAGGAGATTTCCAATCCTCAGCCATACACAATCCACAACACAATACAGCAAACAATGAACATGCACATAAATTTTTTTCTGATGAGCAGCAATGTTTACATTAAACTAAGGTGAACTACAATCCATATAAAGCAAACCGCTATTTTAATTAGCTGCTGTGACCTGAGTAGGCCATTCTGTGGAACATATGGTTATTATTCAATCACACATTGAATATTTATTTGTGTCTCAGCTTTTGCCATGCAAGCTCCCTTGCTCCCTTACTCTTCTGAATACATCCAAAGGGACAATCTAAATAGCTCCAGTAAAAACAAACTCCCTGCTGAGCCAGATGGTTGCAATACGAGGATTAATTGAAGTCCTGTCCTGCCCACTTTCATCATGGTTAGTGATTGTTTAGAATATATTTATAAGCCTCTGGTGGAAGCACTTGAGTCAACAGACAAGAATCAAAATGGCAATATAAAAATAACTAAAGCAAACAAAAGACCCCAGTGAGCAACCATTTTGTTTGGGGAAATTCCGCCATTCAACAAATTCAGAACACTACTCACAATCCACATATATGTGATTTAAAGCCAGGGATAATACAAATAGAAGCAGCACCATAACTTTAAGGAATCAGCTCTCAAAATAAATTTAGGAGATGTGGAAAAAAAAAGTTTCTGTTACAAAAACTGCACCTAGGAAGCTATCAGAAGGATCAGGAGACACACCACCACTACAAATTCAAGGCCATTTTTACCCAACGCAAGAACCTGGACAATTTGGTATAGACACCATATTTGCCTTTCTTTGCACATCCTTCTCCCCAGCTAACAATTCCAGTAACAAAATAAGTATCCTTATATCTGGTTACATGGGGGCCTCCACTGTCTCCTTGACAAGCATCTTTTTGCTCTGTGTCATAACCAGCACAGAACATGTTCTCTGTTATTGCAAAGTTAGTCGATTGCTTGCAAGTGTTCCTATTAACATAGGGGACTTCAAGCACTTTCAGTTTTTTGGATAGTCGTCCACCTTCAAATTCACGCCCAAAGCCACTAACCATCCCAGATCTTTGGTTCATCAGAACTTCATTAGCAAAGTCTGCTTTGGGAAGGCACGCTGCGATAACGTACTCCGAAAATGTGATAGGTTCCTTCAGCTTTATTAAGGCTATGTCATTATCATAAGTTGCAGCAACATATTTAGGGTGAACAACTATTTTTTCCACAGTATGCATCGTTTCAGACTGTTCTGTCTTCTCTCTGTCCACTTCACCTGTACAAGATTATTAAAAGAGTCATTAATGTGGAGATAGTATAAGAAATTAAGAACAACCTTGATAGAGGAAGAGACTAGTATACCCATTCCTAACACAGCCTAAGCATTTATACAATACAAGTAAATGTAGGTAATATTTATTAGCAGCAACTGGATCAGTTTTGGTCCTGAGTTTTGGTCTACAGAGATTTTTGTACCAGTTTACATAAAGGCACAAACCGAGCCAGCTAAACTAATGGAATCTCTTAAAGGAGTTTGAGCCTGACTTAGAGACGAGAACATGGTCTGGGTCAAGACTAAAACAGTGAAAAGATAAAGTTGTGTTGATCTAGTGTCCCAGCTCAGAAGTGAAGCAACCATAACCTGAGTTTGTTCCTTTGCCCTCTATTGAATGTGTCATAGATTTCCTGAGTGTTCCTGCAGGAACAAATGTGGATGATTCAGATGTGTCAGAAATGACAAGCTTTCTGAAAAAGCACCGCTCTGCTGAAAACATTGATAGCCATCAATGTTTATAAAACATTTATAAAACATTTGTTTTTAATCACTTCCAACTAGTTGGCAAAGAAGAAAGGGATGCACCATTATAATTTTCCACATCTGCTGTCCTTGTTGTTAAAACGGAGGATTCCCACAGTAACAAGAAATTAGAAAAAGCAAAATAACAACAAAAAAGTAACAAACCGTAACACATAAAATAATGAGTACATCTCGCACGACATTTAGAGCACAGAAGGTGAAGCTGCAAAACATGCTCAAACATTGCAGGAGTAAAATAAATAACCACTTACCAACAACAACTTTGATTTCTTTAGATTGGTTCATGCAATGAGCTGCAGTAAGTATAGAATTTTCATTCAGAATAGTTCCACCACAAAACTCTTCTCCTTCCTCATTTAGCAGCACAGCCTGTGAAAGAAAAAAAGTAAGTGCAAAATTAAGAAGTGCAATTTAATGTGAATGAGCTATAAAAAGGTAACTGATTTCTCTGCACACCAAACATTCACTTCTTACTGCAACACCTATGGGGCCCTCCAGGTCTCTCTTAATACTATATTCATGGGTGAAGAGGCTACAGATCAACTTGTACTGCTACAGAGTCTCGACTGTCTTTATGTGAAGTACATGTTTGGATTCCATGTTACCACGCTCACAGTACTTAGCACTGTCTTTTAGACACTGACTGACTGACTGACTGTGCAGCCCCCAAATCACCCCATCCCTCGGACTCACCACCCCCAAGAATTCCTGTCCAAGTTCTGTTCCTGTTTGTCTCCCCCTTACTATTCCCAAATACATTTTGGAATGTATTTGGAATTCATTTTGGCTGGCCCAAACTCAAAAGTAAAACACAGAAGTGTATTTCCAAAGTAAAACACTCGCTTTATCTGACATGCTCTTGGGTGTGTTCCTTGAGTGGATGCTCTCAAACAGAACCAGACTGTAACCTGCAAAAATGGCCTGGCAGACCACCATGACTCAAAAGCCCTGTGTGGGAATAGGTTAGGCAGCTCCATCTGAAATGGCACAAAGCCTTTCATTTTGACACTTTAAGGCCTCAAGTTGCAGAACAGCACATCTAAGTGCCCAGTTCACACAATTCAGCTACATCTCACTACCACTGGCAGTACACGGGTAACATTCAGAAGGCAGCCAGAGGAAAGGAGCCACTGCACACCTTCCCTCAGAAAGACACTCTGCTCACATGCAGGGCACACACACCAGACTTACCTGCCACGGACATTCACCGAGACGGCATTCATCCCCACCTACTATCCTGGTATCAACATATGGATTCTTGCTACTTGTTCTGTTGACAGTCTGGGGGGTTGGGCTTTCTGTAGTAATAACAATGTCGTCCTCTGAGCTTGTTTCGTTTGTGGGAGGGCCTTCTTGATCACTCATTACATTGCTATAATCAACAGGTAAAAGAACCGACCTTTTCTTTCTTCTCACAAAAACTTTTCCACAGGGGTATTTTACTGTGAAGAGAAGAATGTCAAAATTGGAGATGGACACAAACCCCTCAAGAGAGAACTCCTTGGAAACACCAAGGAAAATGAGTGAAATAATATGGCTCACAGCAGCAATGTGTTATTAGTTATAAAGGATATTAAAACCAACATCATGAGCCCATGTTTGACCCCTCTGTCCAGGACTACCGAAA